CGCGGTACGGCTGCGGCTCCAGCCGGGGGGGATCGCGGGGGTACTCGGGCTCGCGCTCGGCGCCCGCGAAGTCGCCCTCGCGCCGCCTCACCGGTGACAGGCTAATGAACGCTACTCGGCGCGGCTCCGCCATCCCCACTGTTCTGGCCCTCGGCTAGCGCTCGAGCCGGCGGTCTCTTCTACGCCACGCCGCGTGCCTGCCCGCCCTTCCTTTTGCACTCCGTCGCTTTTCTGCCCTCCACCGTCCTCAGCCGTCTCCGCCGACGCCACCGTGAGTGCCGACCGTGTCTCCTTCCCCGCTACTATGTTCTGATGGGCTCCACCGCCATCGTCAGGGTCGCCGCGGCCGCCATGTTGGATCCCCCACATAAATAGAAGCAGGCCGCTCAGCGGGCGCATGCGCACAGAGGAGACGCTCGCGTCCACTGTCGTGGCTGTTGCTCCGTTTTCCTTTTTTCCTCCCAACAGTCTGGAGTCCAGACAGGCCGGCGGAAGTGACGTCACGACACCGGGCTGTTTCCTTGGAAACAGAGACGCTCTCTGAGCCTTTGCTCAGAGGGAGGCGTGTGGGGTTTCCCGAGGAGCTTCCTATTTGCACCCGGAAACCGAGGCGCGCTTGGGGTTCTCCCTGGCCCCTGGCCGGGCGTGCCTGGGATCGACCTAGCCATGGCGCCAGGTTGCGCCCGACAGCGGCCTTCCGCCTTCCGTATGAGGTGGAGTTGTCAGCTGAGCGTTCAAGGCAGAGGTCGGGGAAACGGAGAGGGACGCGCGCTCCGGCTGCTGTGCCTGCGCCCGGTGCCTCCGCAGCTCTGTGTATAGGGGAAGAAGAGAGGAGGCCGTCTCAGGCGAACCTCGCCCTCGAGCCGTCCATCTTGACAGCGCCACTCAGGCTCCCACGCGCCTCGCAGTCCCGGACCTACTCCTGCCTGCCCCGCGCGACCGCGGTGGGCACTGTCGTGAAACGCTCGACAGCGCCGTAGAGTGGGAAAACTTCGTGCGCGCGAACTGCTGAAATCAGCAGAATTCGAACTTATGAGGAGGGTGCGGTGGTATTTTAGTGGACGTACTTGATAAAAGAATGCAAAGTGACGCATTACAGGGTAGGGGGGAGCGTGGATCGGTCACACCTGTGGTGAAACAATTAGAATTCAGATTTTATAGATTGAAAGTTTAATTCATTCAATAGAAAGTAGATTTGAGGGCGCACCTTCCACATCCTCAGGGGAACCCAAAGTAGATAAACAATCTACTTTGTACTACTACTAAAAAAAACTACTACTTTTTTTAGTGTAACTTCGTAGACATTCTGAGAGCGGGTTCAATATTTTGCTCTTCTGTTACTTTCCAGTTTGCACCAAGATAGTGATGGAGTCGATTATTCCAAAGGTCTCTCCTAACTCTAAAACACTATCCATTTTTTTTCTTGGTGTCATGCTTTACCTTCATTGTCTCCTTTCCTACTGTCCCTCTGATTCCAATTAGGCTCTCGTTTTTGGACCGTTTTACAACTACTTAAGTGGCCGGGTGTGGTGGCGCACGCCTGTAATCCCGGCACTCGGGAGGATCGTTGGGAGTTCGAGACCAGCCTGGGCTACGAAGTGAGCTCAAGGCCAGCTTGAACTGCATACTGAGACCCTGTCTCAAAAAAGGCCAAAAAAAAAAAAAAAAAAAAAGCCCTTATGTGACAGAAAGAAACGCCCTCAGATTCTACCCCTTTCAGTCTCGAATGGAGGCAACTTAATGTTTCTAAAAGACGTTTCATTATGTCAGTCTCTAGCCTCGCTACAGTTTACCTACAAAGTAAGCTTTATAGCTACATTCATATTCAGTATTCTCCACAATTTAGCCTAGAGACCGCGGTCCTTGGGTCAAACAGTTCTACAGGTGTGTTACTTAGTCAACATTGTCTTCTGCTAACTTTTAACCACTGCGTGTTAGGAACCACAACTCACAGTAGCAAATAGATTTTACATTGTAACCCAGCGTACACACACACACACACATACACACACACGCATATATACATACAGGTACAGTATCTAAAGTACAAGTGTCACAATATTTATCTTTACTGTGTAAGATTGGATAAAAACAATACAATATGAAAATGTTTTATACTACAGTGTAGAAAGAAATCTTAGTGTGAATGATACAGAAGCAAATTAGGAAAGGTTTTAGTTAAGACCATGCTCCTAGGTTTTTTTTTGGTTGTGGGAATCGAACTCAGGACCTTGCGCGCATGCCGCTGAGCTATACCCGCTAGGTTTCTTCCAGAACAGACTACGTGAGGACCTGTCACATATACATCTGACCTAGTATTGAGCCTGATCTTTTATTTATTTATTTTTTTAGTGCATCAAAATTGAAAATCCTAGGTCACATACTTAGGCAGTTATGAATCACAATAATGTGTGTCCATGTTTTCTTAGCAATAAATTCCTTAATCTTCATCTGACCCGATAGCTAAACTTCTTGTATGTCAATCTTTTCTCTGTGTAAATGAAGTACTAGGCTCTTGTAATTTATTTTCTTCACAAAACCCTAAATTTAATGCAATCATTTATGCTTTTGAAATCAAATGAACCTTATATACATTTGAATGTAGTGTTTTATCTTTTGATTTTAGTGGTTTCTTACTATATTTTGCATTGCTACCATGTTTGTTGATCGTATTTGCTGTTCCATTGCTTGAAAGTCCATAATAAATTGTATAATTTTCATTGACCTAAATGCTATTTTTTGCTTCTAAATATATTTTTCTCTATGCAGTGTACATAGTAGTTCTTCGAGAAAATTGTCTTGCTGTATATATAACTAGCATAAATACCTTGTGCAACTTGTAGAGGCAGGCCTTAGTTTTGTGATAATGAGTTGATATCCTAACACCAAAAAGTATAGTTTTTTGCTATTATTTGCTTTGTTACCCAAAGCATAAGCACCCTATCCATCCACGCTGGATGAAGTAGTTTTTGAGCACAGTATGAGCCATATTTCTTTCAATTTAATGGAAAAACTGCCTTTCACTTTAAAACTTGTAAAAGTATCACTGGGGTTGTGGGGTGCTGTGGTCTTCTTTCAGATTCTGAGTTCATAACCTGATCAAAGAATTAGTCAAGACGCACACAAAAGGTGGTGAGGCTTTACACTTATTAAAGGTAGGATTTTGTTATAAATGAAACCATAAAGTATGCTCTGCAGAGTGAGTGCAGACCAGTTAACATAGGAAAAAAGCATGCTTTAAGCAGTCCTCTGAAAAAGAGAGAATGGTGGCAACTGAGATTAATGTCTCCGTCTCTGTATCCCCCACTCCTCAGGCTGAGGTCAGATCTAAACCATCCTATCAAGGACCTGCTTGATCTAAGTGAAAAGAGAATTCTGTGCTTGGCCCCAAACTCAGAGTTTAGAAACTGTTTTTCTGTGCATGCATCCTGGATCTCTTTGCCACACCCACTTTCCCAGCCAGTTGGCTGTGCCCTAATCTCCTTCCTTGGACCAATAGAAAATTATGACAATACCACCTCTTTTTTTTTTTTTTTTTAACATAATGAGGGACTTGCTGGCAGTTTCATTCTGTATTTTCAGATGATGTTTTAATTTTTAAGCCATTAAGCTTTCATTTGCAAGAAATGTTTTCTTTTTAAAATGAGCTATAAAATCAATGTTCACTGGTTAGAGTGAAGATTTTCTCAATATTTTTATTGTTTGCTATTCCAGGTCCAACAACTAAATTTGAATATGTTTCTGTATTTTTCACCATTTTATTCCTTTTTTAAGATAATGAAACAATCTCTTTGAGAAAAATTTGTACTATTTCAAGTAATATATTACAGTTGATGTACATATCATATTAGTGACATCCTTTCCCCAAGAGAAACTTAAAGTTCTTCACTGAAAGTCAAGTGAAAATTCTCGAATTTTTTTTTCCTTTTGAGATAGGGTCTTACTATGCAATTCAGTCTGTCCTTGAACTCATTTTGTAGCCCAGGATGGCCTGAACTCCTGCAGTGATCCTCCTGCCTCAGCCTTCTGAGTGCAGGGATAACAGGCATGCACCACTACACCTGGCTTCTACTGGATTTTTTTAAATCAGCAAATAACTTCTCACATACTTCATTCTGTAAGTCACAAGGAGTTGTAACAATATAAAATTAAGCTACATACTGTCTGTTTGATAAATGAACCTAGGATTTTCTGATGTGAGCCCTGCTCTTTGCCAACAGTAGGACTGTCAGCTGTTTTAGATAAGGCTTTGTGTGATACATTCTGATATTTTTTATTAAATTTAGTTATAATTTATTTCATTTTTTAAAGTGCTACTTGTGAGCTGAGCATAGTGGCACATGCCTATAATCCCAGCACTTGGAAGGCTGAGGCAGAAGGATCACCTTGAGTTAGAGGCCAGCCTGGGCTGCATAATGAGCTCAAAGCTACATAGTGAGATCCTGTCTCAAAAAAAAAAAAAAAAAAAATGCTGCTTGTGATACTTAATACTATAACACTGTGATTGTTTTTAATAGAGAGAGATATGCAACTTAGCAGATACTAAGTAGGTGAGGAAAAAGTAATACTGAGTGTACAGACCATCTACCTTGCACATTTATTTAATGTTCTCTCTCTCTCTGTGTCTCTCTCAGTCTCTCTCTCTCTCTCTCTCTGTCTCTGTCTCTCTGTCTGTCTGTCTGTCTGTCTGTCTCTCTCTCTCTCAGTATTTGGGCATCAGGCTACCCTAGAACTTGCAGCAATCCTCCTGTTTTAGCTTCCCAAGTGCCAGAATTGCAGGTGTATGCCACCATGCCTGGCTCTACCTGTAATTTGTGCGAGAATTTGGAGAGTCCAATTGATTTTGTTGAATAAAAGGAATCCACAAGAAGAGGTCAAAGTCAATTCCTTGTGAGTGTAAACTATAAGTGTTTTTCATGTTATTAAACTTTATGATACAAGATCAAATCAGGCATTTCATTGTTGTGTGTGTGTGCATATAAAAATTATATAAAATATCCTGTGAAAGTGAGCTCCTAAGTGACTCAGAGCTTCGTGCCAACATTTGCACAAAGACCAGAATGTTTTGTGAAGATATGAAGGAAGAGAATCACAGAGATGGAAAAGCAAGGGTACCTGGGCCGGGTGTGAGCTAGGAGCATATGAAGGAAGGTGAGTGAGGCCAGAGAGCAATGAGCAAGAGGAGGAACAGGATGGAGCCAGGGGCTGGGCTGTGGAATGGCATAAGGAGTTTGAATTTTATTACAAGTGAAACCCAAAGCCAGTGGAAAGTTTTAAATGGAGAAATGACATGCTTCCACAAGAAAAACATTTCAACAAAGTGGGACTTTCACAAGAAAAGCATTTCAACAAAGTGGGAGTAGTCAGCTATTGTAGCTTGTGTATAAATATCCCCCCCAACCAGAGACATGTGTGCTCATAGGTGATTTTCAGTGGTGGCTGGATCCAGGGTGTGTGATAGTGGGATTAAGGATATGTGGTACTTAATCTGTTCACTGATTGGTTTAGGATAGTTCTGAGTGAGGATAATGGAAGCCCCACCATGAGTGTGGGTAGAACCAACCAATATGCTTGTAGCCTGGATAGAATCTAAAGGGACAGAAGAAAGGCAGGCTTGCTGCTTGCTGCTTGCTGACTCCTGTCTGCCCTGCCATGGACTGTTTCTCCTTTGCCATGCTGCCCTGCATTGGAGCCAGCTGGCTATGGACCAAAACCTCTACAGACTGTGAGCTGAAATGAACTTTTGTTCCTTTAACTTATGATTGTCAGGTATTTGTCCCAGCAATGAGAAAAGTAACTAAGAGGGCTGGGGATTTAGCTCAGCGGCACAGCACCTGCCTGGCAAGCGCAAGGTCATGAGTTCAATTCCTGGTAGTGGAAAAAAGAAAAGTAGCTATCAGTTTTTTTTAAGCTTTACTTTGGGTAAAAAGGTTGAATTAATCATATTCAACTGTGACACATTATCGTCACTGTCTGTTTGTAGCCTTTTTTGTTTTCTTTGCGTATGTATATGAGAAATTCCTCTCCATTTCTATTCTTTGACTCTGATATAAAAATTCTGAAGTTTAATTTTTTCTTTGTATGTGCCTTTGTATATTATTTCATGTACAAATGTATTTATTTTGTAAATTTATTACATATCTAATTCTGTTTCTTTTAAAAATAGTTATTTTTAAGGTTCACCCCCATTGTTGTGTATAATACATTCAGTTTATAGCATTTTCATCTTTTTTTTTTTGACACTCATGGGGACTGGACTCAGGGTCTCATGTATGCTAAGCAAGCACTGCACCACGGGGCTGTGCCTCCAGCAGTTTATTACTTGTGAGTAATAATGTGCAATAGCACATTCTGCCTCTGTGGGTGTTTATATAATTTACACATGAACTCAATTCTCTCCACAGTTCTGGTTGCAAACTGAGTTGGATGAGAACCGAATCAAATTTAATGGTGAAGTTCATTGTTGACCTTTTGGGGAAATTTGATTCAATTCTCATCCAGTTTGGTTTGCAACCAGAATTGTGGAGAGAATTGAATTCATGAACCAACGTACCACTTTATGTATCTGAATTATATTCTTAAT